AAATCAAACATTACCTCGTTTAAGAATTAAAATGATTTATTTTGCGACAACATTTTTTTAAAAAGTAGTATTTCATTGAAAAACCACCTACTCAATGCTATCAACTTAATGAAAAAGATATATATTTTTACAGGTCCAAAGTGATTGTGAGAAGCAGAACAGTCATCTTCCGTAATTTTTTACTTCATAAGTCATGATATAAAATACGACCTCGAATCTAGACCAGCTTTACTCAATCTTTTAGATAACAGAGATCGGCTCGCTGCATCCCCTAAACTGTCGCGGACCATTAAAATGCAAGCACAACGAAAAAACATAACGATTTACATATGAATATTCTGTTCGTTTTTGTTTGTTTGTTGTCCTGAAATATCATGGACCGGCAATGGGGTTCTAACGGATCGACGTCGGTCTGCGAACCAGTGGTTGAAAAGCATTGATCTATAATCAACTTTGGTACGCTGTTGTTTAAAGCGAATTTCCCTTGACACGGCGAATGGTAAAATAAAAGCATACACTCAAAAAGACAACAAAACGAAAAACAAAAATAATGGTGAAATTTATCCAGCTCTGGAAAGCGAAGCGGTGCAGAGCTGAGTGCAGAAGTTGGACTACAGGCGCTTTTCACGTATGCGCTATACAAATTTTTCTGTCTGTCTGTGGACGCATCTCCTCCTAAACGAATTGACCGATCGAGACCAAACTTGGCATGCTAACTCAGTAGTCCAAAAGCAAACCAAATTAAAATTCAAAAATAAAAACATTTTATAGAATAACCCCTATATTGTTAGTGCAGTATCTGTTGAGTTTGAATAAAATTCTCACAACAACAAAATTCTACAAGTCAAAGATTGTAAATAAAATTTTCAGCATTTTGATTTGTTTCTCAAAATAACTAAAATATACAGTAATAATATCCAGCTCCAATGCGAACAGACCCCCCAGTGGCACAGGAGTATGTCTGCGGACTTACAAGGCTAGAAACCGGGTTTCGATACCCATTGTGGGCAGAGCACAGATAGCCCATTGTATAACTTTGTGCTTAATTAGAAACAAACAAACGAACAACGCGAACAATAAATATATTGCTGCTTTTTAAGTTTCCTGCTCTTTTCTGATTTAGGCCCGGCATGGCCAGGTGGTTAGGGCGCTCGACTCGCAATCTGAGGGTCACGGGTGAGTGGGTGGTGATGACTAGCTGCCTTCCCTTTAGTCTTACACTGCTAAATTAGGCTAAATTTTTGTAGGCTATATTTTAATGCTTTGTTTACTAGTTGAAGTGTTTTTCATCATAAAATGATTATGTGAAGTCTAGAACTTCCATAAAACTCTATGCTTTGGTGCATTTCGAACGTTCGTGAAGCAGAGTACAATATGAAAGCGCTAGACTGAGTAAGTTGGGATTAAACGATCAGTTCAGAGTTAGTTAAAGAGTTTTAGTGAGAATTAGTGAGTCTGTTCGTCAATGATCGAGTTAGTAAGTTAGTCATTGAACCTACCAGCGTGTTTTAATCAATTAGCAATGAAATTTCGCAAATATGTGACGTTAACTTCATTTGCGAGTCAGTCGTCCATTAGTTTCGGAATTTCTGTTGAAAAGTTGTTGTTGAAGTTAGGCCTACTAGTGAACGTAGCCTGTATAGAACGTTATTGATAAGTGGGCTCGACTTGGTATCATGTTTACCAAATAACAGAACACGTTATAACAATACGTTAACTTCTTGCTAGTTGTTTTAGAAACATACTTATACTGCTTAATTTGTTGATACATGATGCCTTATCTCTACATATAGTTACGACAACATTGTTAGAATACAACAATCGTGTACTGGTGACTTTGTTTTCGACTAAGGCTAGACACAAGAAGCCTGCTTCATCTAATCGGAATATCACGTTACAAGTGATATTAATTTATTTTATATTATACCCGTACGATATCACGCTCAAAATTGATTTGTATAAATGTTGAATATAACATCCGTATGAAACTCTTTTTGTTTTGTTTTCTCTAACTGGTGAAGAATATTCGTTTATTACTATAATAAAATGAAAATGTAAGTATAATACAATCTACCTGATGAAGACCCACGCTAGCAGTTTGAATGGTGAAGACCCGCGCTAGCAGTTTGAATGATGAAGACCCACGCTAGCAGTTTGAATGATGAAGACCCGCGCTAGCAGTTTGAATGATGAAGACCCGCGTTAGCAGTTTGAATGATGAAGACCCACGCTAGCAGTTTAAATGATGAAGACCCGTGCTAGCAGTTTGAATGATGAAGACCCACGCTAGCAGTTTGAATGATGAAGACCCACGCTAGCAGTTTGAATGATGAAGAGCTGCGCTAACAGTTTGAATGATGAAGACCCGCGCTAGCAGTTTGAATGATGAAGACCCACGCTAGCAGTTTGAATGATGAAGACCCGCGCTAGCAGTTTGAATGATGAAGAGCCACGCTAGCAGTTTGAAACGCTGAGCAGTTATAACAGTCTTCCCTGCCTGAACTTTTTCTTAGAAAAAGAATCTATCAGTTCTTCGTGACTTAAACTCCTAGGCTCACACGTTTTGTGTTTTCCTGTGATACAGAAAACGCAAAGTGTGAATACATTGAGAGATACGAAAAAGAAAGTCATTTCTTATGAAGTTTTGTAGTTTTAAAAGGGGTCATATTATTCTAGAAAATTTTGGACTTCCAAGCTTGTACTCTCGTGCTGGCATGGCCAGGTGGTTAGGGCGTGTAACTCCCAATCTGCTGGGCGCGGGTTCGAATCCCCGTAACACTAAACATGTTCGTCCTTTTAGCTGCGGGGGCGTTATAATGTGGTGGTCAATCCCACTGTTCGTTGGTAAAAGAGTTGGTGATGACTAACTTCCTTCCCTCTAGTCTTTCACGGCTAGCGCAGATAGATTTCGTGTAGCTTTACCCGAAATTCAGTACAAACAATCTCTCATGTTCTGCTTTATGTTTGGATTATTTGTTTGACTTTGTGCAAAGCTACTCAAGGGATATCTGAGCTAGCCGTCCCTTATTTTAAACTGATAGACTACAGCAGTGCTTGCCAAACTTTTTCAGCTCGCGTGGCACGGCCCAGCATGGCCAGGTGGTTAGGGGGCGCTCGACTCACAATGTGCGAGTCGCGGGTTCGAATCCCCGTCACACCAAACGTGCTCACCCCTTCAGCCGTTGGGGCGTTATAATGTGACGACCAATCGCACTATTCGTTGGTAAAAAAAGTAGCCCAAGAGTTGACGGTGGGTGATGATGACTAGCCGCCTTCCCTGTAGTCTTACACTGCTAAATTAGGGACGGCTAACGCAGATAGCTCTCGTGTAGGTTTGCGCGAAAGTCAAAACAAACAAAGAAGCTCGCGGCACACTCTTAATGTCCCAAACATAAATAAGGCCGTATATCAGGCCTAGTGGTACCACCCTGATTAAGACAGGCAGAAATTACTGTTATACTGTGTGTATGAAGGAGAAAATAAATCAAATTTTAAATTATAAAAAATGTATTAAATAGATAATAAATTTAAATTTCTAAAATAAATTACTTAATAATTGCAAAAAGTCCGCGGCACAAAATTTAGGAAGCACTGGACTAGAGGAAAGACAGTTAGTTAACACCGTCAATTCTTGAGCTACTTTTGTCTGAAGAAATAATGGAATTTGACAGTCATCTATATCGTACCCATGACACAAAATTGATTTTTATTGTTGCTGATAACTGGTTGCAAACCACAGAACCCCAGGTCTACAATTCAGAGCGCTAACCGTTGGGCTGAGCTCGGCCCTTACTAAAGATTTTCTGATCCTTGGCTACAGTTACAGCAGTTGGTGTGTTTTGTAACTGAAGCGGGAAATGTGGATTTCCTCGTTACAAAACTCGTTTGCTTCCCGAATGGATTCTTGTTGAGTGTTTTGAACTGAAGAGGCTTCCCAAACTCAGATGTTAAGGCACAAGGATGCCGTCTGTGAACGGGAAACATTCTTCAGATGTCACAACTTCCAAAGAATGGTGTCGCCACTTTCAGGTTCTCTATGTATTGAACAATTATTATGTTGAATATAGCAACTTTAGAATTGTGGCAGAAATAGCACTGTTTGGATCTTAGGATACTCACCTAAACGATGTGATAGGCGTCTGGGTTTTATGATGTTTCCTGTAATCAACCCCAGCATCAACGACAGGTCTTTGACCACATACTACTACTGCTTGACTTTCGTTATTCATTCCCTCTTCATCCTGACACACGGTTTTCAAAGATACTACTGTAGCATGGGTGAATCTGTAGTCTTTCAATTAGAATTCTGGTTTTGAGTTAGAGTAGTCAGTTTTTTCTGTGGCATGACAATCAAAGTCAGACAAAGCCTTTTTATTGGCACATGCATGATTGTGCATGTATCGTCACTGTGATAATTTGCATTATGTTTTTTTCTGTAACTGCCATAGAAATCCTTATTAAAATTAAACACCGAATTTTAACCGTGTGTGTGTGTTTCCTCCTTTGTACGGTTTTTAACAGTTTTAATAACATAATGAAGTCCATTCTCTGGGTATTAAAGACTCTTCTACCTGTCCTCTGACAGAGCTCCTGTGATTTAACTACAAAAATGTCCTTAACACACTAAAAGAATAAACGACTTGTGGTGTGTGTAAAGATAAGGTCCTGGTAAATCATATTGTGAATATCATTTTAGTCGTCTGCATAGCGCTTGCCCCCAGTGGCACAGCAGTATGTCTGTGGACTTACAACGCTAGAAACCGGGTTTCGATACCCGTGGTGGGCAGAGCATAGATGGCCAGTTGTGTAACTTTGTGCTGAACTTCAAACAAACAAACAAACAAACAAACATAGCGCCTTTACACGAAATTAATTCAGTTGTACAATCTTTAGAATATACCCCCCCCCCCCCCCCAGTGATACAGCGGTTTCGATACTCGTGGTAGGCAGAGCACAGATAGCCCATTATATAGCTTTGTGCTTAACTACAAAAAAAACAACAACAACAAAACAAAACAATTAAAATAAAACAATTTCCTCTCTTTTCCACTTTCAGGACCCTGGAGAGTATGAATAACATAGCTTAAAGTATGAATAACATAGCTTAAAGTATGAATGACATAGCTTAAAGTATGAATAACACAGCTTAAAGTATGAATAACACAGCTTAAAGTATGAATAACATAGCTTAAAGTATGAATAACATAGCTTAAAGTATGAATAAACACAGCTTAAAGTATGAATAACGTAGCTTAAAGTATGAATAACACAGCTTGTTATTCATACTTTAAGCTATGTTATTCATACTTTAAGCTACGTTATTCATACTTTAAGCTACGTTATTCATACTTTAAGCTGTGTTTATTCATACTTTAAGCTATGTTATTCATACTTTAAGCTATGTTATTCATACTTTAAGCTGTGTTATTCATACTTTAAGCTGTGTTTATTCATACTTTAAGCTATGTTATTCATACTTTAAGCTACGTTATTCATACTTTAAGCTATGTTATTCATACTTTAAGCTATGTTATTCATACTTTAAGCTACGTTATTCATACTTTAAGCTATGTTATTCATACTTTAAGCTACGTTATTCATACTTTAAGCTGTGTTTATTCATACTTTAAGCTATGTTATTCATACTTTGTAGCTTAAAGTATGAATAACACAGCTTAAAGTATGAATAACACAGCTTAAAGTATGAATAACATAGCTTAAAGTATGAATAACATAGCTTCGGTCCCTTGATCACAAAGTTAGTGTATACCAACAGACTTACCAGTTGATTTTCAAGCAGGTGCAAACCAGAAATAAAATGTATGTGCTTAGTAAATTCTAAAATGAATAATATGTTTTTTCTTCCTATAGCTACATGATAATTGACATGTCGACATTGGACGACAAACCAACAGTTGGGGGTGTGACTCCCTTCCCCACAACTTCCCTGTTTATACGCTCCAGATTCAAGTTTAGGTTCTCTTTTGACTTCTCAGAATGACATATCATCCACGTAATTATTCATTATATGTTCATTGTGCTAAACGCTGTGATAACGTAACTAACGACACATCTACTATGCTGCTGGCTACACTGGTCCGGCAGGATCTGATAGTTAGGACGTTCGACTCGTAATCTGCGGGTCGCGGGTTCGAATCTCCGTCACACCAACCAGCTCGCTCTTTCAGCCGTGGGGGCGTTATAATGTGACTGTCAATCCCACTTTTCGTTGGTAATAGGGTAGTTGGCGGTGTGTGGTGATGACTAGCTTCTTTTCCTCCACTCTATCACTTTTAAATTAGGGATGACTGGCGCAGGTAGCCCTCGAGTAGCTTTGCGCGAAATTCAACAAATAATTGACTGTATAAAGAGACAGACACACCTCCACAAGTCCCAACTTTGAATGACTGCCTAGTGGCAGTATCTATCGTAATTAATAGCTGCCTACATCCTATGCACGTAGAATGTGTAATTGAACACAAACAGCCTGTGCTAAGTTTTTGAACAATTTTCTGGATCATCTCAATAAATATATGTTCACTTTTCAACTTTTGAAAGGGTTAGAAAGGGTACAATTACATGCTGTATTTCCAGCTTCTCCTACTTATATTTATATATATATATATTCCATACTTTTGTCATTTTGCTACCTCTCTTCCACTGTATTGCTTAAGATTTAATTTTATTAGTTTATCTAAGCAGCAACAAAATTTGTTCGTGATAAACTTGTCACGACAGCTGTTATGATTGATTGAAGTCTAACTCTATTTGTTATTATTTTATCAATTTTGTTGTTGTTGTTAATTCTCAGTGGGTTTGGTTTGATCTATCCTCACACAAAATTACTACTAGATTCGCTTTCTCTATCATTTCGATTTGCGAGACTTAGTAAGTCAGGAAACCATTACTTTTGATTTCCCCACAGAACTCCATCAGGGTAAGAGAGAGAAATGCCAATCCTAACGATTCGTTCACTACTCGAAAATGAATTAATGTGTGAATTCCAAGTTCTAATGCGTTTCGTAGAAGGGAAAAAAATCGATTTTCGGGAGCTACTGTAAGTAAGCGGTTCAGTTCGTTTTCAGCTGCACACTGTAATCACCAGAACAGAAGTTCCTTTGGCAGATAGAAGAGATAACAATTAAGGTAAAGAAATTCACAGGTGCACACGGGTCATTCCAATAGTTTTTCTCGAAATGTGTGATGGGGCAGGCTATGGGAGAATCGTATTGTTCGATACTTTTGTAGTGTACTAAGAAAAGGTATAACTTATTTGGTCATTATTCCTGTCAAAGAAATGTTGTACAAAGAAGATTAAATTTGACAGAACCTATTACTCCGTACTATCAAAACGATCAAGAAGGTTTGAGCAGAAGGTGAAATATGTAATTTTGTCGACATGTAATGACGTCAGTTAGGTAGAATTATAGACGGACTGTGTAAATTACGAGATGCTGACATTATAATCTATTTGTCGCTTGATCTAATAAAATAGTATGTTATTGTGATCTATTGTTTGTTTATTTTGAATTTCGCGCAAAGCCACACGAGGGCTATCTGCGCTAGCCGTCCCTAATTTAGCAGTGTAAGACTAGAGGGAAGGCAGCTAGTCATCACCACCCACCGCCAACTCTTGAGCTACTCTTTTACGAACAAATAGTGGGATTGACCGTAACATTATAACGCCTCCACGGCTGAAAGGGCGAGCATGTTTGGTTGGACGGGGATTCGAACCCGCGACCTGCAGATTGCGAGTCGAGCGCCCTAACCACGTTGAAAATAATAACAAAACTTACAACGTTAAAAGCTATCGATGTATTGATATCCTAAAACTATCGTTTTCTATATTTTACTCATACGTTGAAAATAATAACAAAACTTACAACGTTAAAAGCTATCGATGTATTGATATCCTAAAACTATCGTTTTCTATATTTTACTCATACGTTGAAAATAATAACAAAACTTACAACGTTAAAGGCTATCGATATTATGAAACTTTTAAATACGGATAATACTACACCAGTTTTGACAAGTTTCATGAAATTAGAAATGATAAGCCTAATAGTGAAAAATAAGTAGATGAAAACTTGTTTCTGTTAGAATAAGTTTGTTTGTTTTTCTGGTGTTTAAAACTTCCACTAAAAGTAATCTTACACTTGTTTATCTCATGTTCAAGCCGTTTTATGTATTTAAAGTTTTTCAATTCAGTTGTTTTTGTGACAAAAAACACAACATATCATTAGGAGGTTAAAATAGCATAATTCAAATGTCCTGTGCTCTTCCCTTTGAACATATTCGTCTAACTGTTTTCGTGTTACTTTCATTTATGTAATATGTTTATTAGTTTCAAAACATATTGTTTGTTTGTTTTTGAATTTCGCGCAAAGCTACACGAGGGCTATCTGCGCTAGCCGTCCCTAATTTAGCAGTGTAAGACTAGAGGTAAGGCAGCTAGTCATCACCACCCACCGCCAACTCTTGGGCTACTCTTTTACTAACGAATAGTGGGATTGACCGTCACTTTATAACGCCCCCACGGCTGAAAGGGCGAGCATGTTTGGTGTGAGAGGGATTCGAACCCGCGACCCTCAGATTGCAAGTCGAGTGCCTTAACCACCTGGCCATGTCGGGCCTTCAAAACATAGAAAAAAGTTCGTAAATCACCTCAACTACGCTTAAATTCTGAACTAATATTTTTTTAAAAGTTCGTTTAAGTATTTCGCATATTTCTATACTAGTCATATTTTTAAGCTAAGAGCTTTTAATAAGGTATTTTTTTATATACATCTTTTATCTCGAAATAATTCCAAAAACTTGGCTAGGCATACCACAGAATAAATTGACTAACTGGATCTTGCAAAATGAAAGAAAAAAAAGCGAATTCGTGACAAGAAAACTCAGAATAGAGCGAGCGAGCCAGTTGAAGTTTGGTCAAAAGCCCTTGACGAGAACCAATCAAAAAAGAGTTCTGCGTGACCCATGTACAACGTGAGGAAAATTTTCATGCCTGAATCTCTGAAACTTATCCTTAATCGATGCCATAAAATAAGAGTTTTATGTTGGTTTTTTTTTGCATATTATTATTTTTTCTTTCTAATAGTAACAACCCACTAAATCAGTCTGATGCCAGAAAAATGAATAATAAAAAAAAAACATGAAGGTATTCGTTCTCCTTTGAAGAAATTCTTAATGGGTTATTTCTATACTTTCGGAATTCTTATGAGGTTTTAGGGCCGTCGGAAAAAGTTCATACATTTTTAATGTCTACGTTTCCTTGTCTACTAAATAAGGTCCTTTGTTAAATCTATATATAGCTGTTTAACATTTGGATTTAAGATTATGCACAACAACAGTACTTTATTATAAAACGCGCATAAATATCTCGAAAGAAAAGGTTTGGATATTAAACAAAACGGGCCCGGCATGGCCAGGTGGTTAGGGACTCGAATCGTAATCTGAGGGTCGCGGGTTCAAATATCCGTCACATCAAACATGCTCGCCCTTTCAGCCGTGGGGGCGTTATAATGTGACGGTCAATCCCACTATTCGT